CAAACACAAAAAAAAAAAAAAAAAAAAAAAATCGCTGCCAGTAATCCCAGCGCTTTGGGAGGCCAAGGCGAGTGGATTGCCTGAGCCTGCAGGTTCAAGACCTGCCCAGGCAATGTGGCGAGACCGCATCTCAACAATACATGAAAAATTAGCTAGGCATGGTAGCGCGCGCCTGCCGTTCCGGCTGCTTGGAAGGCTGAGGCAGACCAAGAGCATACCACTGCCCTCCAGTCTGGGCGACAGAATGAGACTCCAACTCAAAAAAAAGAAAAAAAGATTGGAAGAAGCACACCCACATAGACACTGGGAGGAATTTCTGCACTTCGTCAATAAATAGTATTTGTCCAGTAGTCTGCTGGCATTTTATATCTGTTATCTCCTTTGATCCCCACAAGCTGTTAATTGTTTTATCTACACTTGTTTATATTACTAGAAGTATTATTAGTCCCATTTCACAAAGGAAAATACTTAAGATCACACAACTAGCTTGTGGAAGGCCACCAGTCATGTGGGGATTCGTTCAAGGAGTTGGTTTCTTCTTAAGGAATCCCTGAGATCTGCCACATGCGTTTCAGAATGTATCCCAGGCTCTTTCATGATCTGGCCTCCAGAAGCATCTTTGCTGAGCAAATCAAGGTTAATAATCCTCTTCCTCTTCTCCCTTATAAACCTTAAACTTGTATGTTTCCTAGACTCAAGAATGTGTTTTCAGTTGAAGGATTTAACAACATCATGAGATGAATAGACTTGTTTGAACTTGGATCTTAACATCCACCTTTAAAGCTGTTTTTAGGAAAAATTGAGCCTGATTTTAAACAATGAACTTAGAATTATAAATCATAATTGGCAGGAGCCTTAGAGATCCTCTGGCCCAATCACCATCTTAGTACGTTAATTCCTTTTGTATGATACTTGGCATGGCTTTGCAACCTTTTCTCGAACACCTCATTGACAAGGATTTTCCAGTGTTACAATGAGGCGAGTTAGAAACCGTCGGTTATATTGATGTTAAACTGCATCCCTGCAACTTCTATGTAATGACCATTTTCTATCATCAAATACAACACATTTATATCTATTCTGTCTCACATCCCTTCAAAGATTCAAAAATATCTGTCTTCTCTTTCCCTAGGCTAAATATTCCACTAGCTCAAGTATTCTCTGTGTGACCTAATTTCTACTTCTCATACCCCCAGTGATCAGTATTCCGAAGTTTGAAATCTTTCTTTCATAATACAGTACCTAGAATGGGCTGTACTCCTCAAAATGAAGTAATCCATTCAGGGGACAGTGAGAACTCTCCCTCCCTTGGTCTGTTATCATATTTCTATGAATGTACCTGCGAATGTCCTAATGTGTTTGTCATGCTACTGACTCCTACTCAGGTACCACATTTGGTCAAGCAAAACCTAGTGGGCCTTCTTATCACCAGAACTTCCTTCTGTCAGGTCTCTCGGCCCAGCCTGTCTGGGTTGATGTGGTTGGTTTTTTTAGGGGAAAAGCTTGCCGACCTGCACCAAAAACCTAAATTTTCTAAGTTCCCACATAAGCTTCATTTTAACAGGCATCTCAAGTATACTCCACTGTAGTTTCTAGAGATCACATTTTTTCCCCCTTTTTTCTCAAAATAAAGATACTTGCCCATCTGGGACTAGAGATTTTTACTCATTTGAGGTTTGTTTTTTTTTTATAACCTTCTGTTCTAATTCCGATTTCCATTTCCTCTCAGCAGTGTGTTTTAACTCTTCCAAAAACAGAGCATTCTACTTAGTAGATGAGATAGAAGCAAAAAAGTTGAGTAGCACGCCAAGTCAATTGATTTAGAAAGAATTGTAGAACATAAGAGCTAGAAGACACCCTAAAGAGTCCAACTCCTAATTTACACATGAGGAAGGAAAGCCCTAGAACTTACAGAGTGGCCGGATGTCACACACAAGTGGTAGTTGGCACTAGAACCCAGGTATCTAAATTCTAATATTGTCAACACTTCTCTTGTACATTACAATCGTTTATGACTGTGTGGTCAGAATTATATTTTTAGAACTTTGCTTCTCTATTGAATTGCATTGTATTATAGAGTTTCATATCATGGAATCCTACATATCTTTGCTTTTAATTTGATTTCTTATGTTCTTTCTTTGTTGTGTGTATGGGCAGGGGTGTCTTCTTTTTTTTTTTTTTTTTTTGAGTCAGAGTCTTACTCTGTCACCCAGACTGGAGTGCAGAAGCATGATCATGACTCACTGCAGCCTCAACCTCCTGGGCTCGGGCTGGTCTCGAACACCTGGCCACAAGTGATCCTCCCACCTCAGCCTCCTAAAGTGTCGGGATTACAGGCGCAAGCCACTGCACTCAGCTGGGTGTCTTCTTTTTAAAGGTTACTAAAAGTTAAAAGTATCACATTTATTTTATAATATCTATTTTAGTAAGCACCTACTAAATATAAAGACGAATAAGATATTATTATTGCTAGCCAGGGAAAAGGAAAGAGAGAGAAAGAGTGAGAGGTGCCTTTCCTGCCATGGCCCAACCTTTGCTCAGTGAATTCTGCAGATTACTTGTTCCCTCTGTTTGTAACTTTGCAGCAACTTGGATGGATTTAGAGTCGATCATACTCAGTGATCTATCACAGAAACAAAGAACAGCGTACCATAGGTTCTCACTCATAAGCGGACCTTGAACAATTATCCTAATACTATAAGAAAGGGATTGGCAGTAGTGGGAAACTGCCGGGGCGGGGGAGGGTGGGATTGGCAGTTGAGGGAAACTGCCAGGGGAGGGAAGGACACACCTCATCAACAAGGGTACCTGCATAATCAGCGTTTGTATACCAACCCCTGAATGGTACCCCACATCTTTAAAATAAAGAAAAATAATAATAACAGTATCTCCCTTCAAGGATTAGTATTATGAGGGAATAAGTTATACACTGTATACAAAGCACTAGCACAATGCCTAGTGCAAAGTACCTCTCCATCACTCTATTAACGCTCCTGTGTTAATTAGTTTAACTCTACTAATTCTTCCGGTTACTTTAAATTTCCACACTTTTTAGGGTGGAGGAAAGTGCTAAGAAAATAAGGAGTGCGTAAGATTCCATTTTCAAGCAATTACAAACTCCAATATGATACGGTTATTAGATCTCAAGTCTCCCATAATTTTCAGTATCATTTTCTTTTTTTATCATAATTTAGATTTTAAGAATGATTTGGGCTCAGTGGCTCAGTCTGTAATTCCAGCACTTTGGGAGGCCGAGGCGGGTGAATTGCCTGTGCCAGTAGGTTCAAGACCAGCCTGGGCAACTTGGCGTAGACCTAGTATCTACAAGAATGATTTAAGAACTAAGACTTGCAAGTTAAATCCTAAGGTGGGAACTGCCTATTATGAGCTCCGTATTTGTTCTAGCACAGAAACGATCTCCTGTGCTTGGTGCCCCTCTTTTTCTTCTTAAACCCCCTCATGCCCAACCCTGCCAGCAACTTACAGCACCAGGACAATATCCACCATACTCCAGGGTGACGTAAAAGTGTCTTGAGAAAGCCCTGTCCTGTGAAATGGATGATGTCGATCTTAAGATGAATGCGTGTCGAACATCATAGATGAGACAGCATCTCACATATATTATCTCATCTGGTAGTGTGGTAGCTTGTCTTCTCTTTATACTTCTGTCTTTTTCGTTAGCCCATATAGAGCTAAAGAAAACATCGCTACGTATGAGATTTGTCGATACTTCTCATGAAGGATGATGGGGGTGAGGGTGGATAAGGGCCTGGGCTTCAAGTATCACAGAAGTGTGTTGATGTGTTGAAATGTGACAAGGTCTCTGCGAGGCTGTGTGCTGTTTATACCAAGTTTGTTCAACAAGCATAACCCATGTAGATTTGTATACAGTGAGCCGGCTATGTGTTTTTACTTGAATTTTATTGGAAGGTTGAACTGTGAACCTCAAAGTTTAAAATGGGATAACTAAGAAAAGCAATATAAGCAGCCATAAAAAGTTCCTGTGCTGATAAGGGCTCTTTGGGAGTCGGTGGAATGAAGCAAGCAGGAAGAGAAAGATTAGAGGTCAAGAAAGTGATTTCTTAGCATCTTTCATGCTACAACTTTAAAAGCAAAGTACAGTCAAGGCCAAAGGATAAACTGGATACTGATATATTTTTAAAGGGAAACACACATTTTCCATACTTCAAGGAATCTCTGTTCAGGTATTAGTGTGTACATATTGCAGTGAATGCCCGATACCCACTGAAAGAGTTCATGTGCAGAGATAACATAATTCAGTTTCCCAGTAAACATTTTCAGCAGGGATTTTATACTTCCCAACATGAAAATCAGTGCTGTTAAAACTATCTTCCACTTATCCATAAAGAAGATTATAACAAATAAGCATCAGATACGATTTTAGCCCACATTTACCAGGGGAATTATTGACTCATGAAAGAAGAAAATTATGAAGTTTTTGTGATGATTCATCGTTGGGTGCTTTCAAGAACATAGATGTCAGTTTTGATCAATGCAATTTAAATCTCTGCTCAGGACCTATCTAGATTCAAGAGATGCTTACCAACGCATCATATACCTCATTGAATCTATAACTCATTTCCAAATGTCAGCCACCGACCAGCGGTTAGAAATGACCACTGCCTCATTCTGATCTGCAATTAAATGAGTGACAGTGTGAGGGTGAACAGGTTTTGGCCCCATCCCTGATCAGCTGCACTAGCCACTTCCTCTAACATGGCTTTGGGACGCACGGCTTCCTCTCCAGCCACATCACTGCTCTAACCAACAGGTGCACCGCCACATTGACACTCCATCCAAATCCTGTCTACCTACATCTCGTAGCCTGCCCAGCAAATATGAACAGCAAAACACATCGTGTCCTCCTTTCTTACCCCGTTTTACCCGTATGTTTTTGTGGTACTTTAAAGAGTCCCCACGAGGTGGCAGAATTGTAACACGCTGAGATTGATGAGCCTCTACCGAGACCCTGATTTTTTTTTTATTGTCGTTTTAACATATTTCAAAGATCAGTGTTTCTAAAACAACACAGGTAAAGCATCACATCCATAAAGAGGATGACATCCCCTCAAGCTCACATCTTAAAGGAAGACGATTCATCTTACAGTGACCATTCTTGAAGAACAAAGATCTTTCCTCCTGTTCCCCACTACCACAACTTTTTTTTTTAAAGCTTAGATTTCAATGGGAAGCAGGGTTGAAAACACCCTTACTGACAAGATCATTGTATTCCTGTGCAAAGCCCGGGCACTTTCTGTTCCATCTCACAGGGTCCCCTTTAAAATGTTAGACGGACAAGAAGAGCTTGAACAGCAAGATGAGCAGTGCCGTGGGCTGCAGGACCCACGGGAGGAGGAAGAGAAGACGAGGCAGCAGCAGACAAGCCCGCGAAGGACAGCACCGCCCTGCACCCATCTCTGCATCACACTTGCTTTCCGTTCACCCAGCGGAAGGTGATGTCGAGAAGCCGTGATCCAGGCTGTCCTCTCCTTAACCGAACCGGGGGAGAGATCTAGATTTGCAGCAAAACATGACCAGATCGGAGGGCAGAGAATGTTCATCCCTTGTAAACCTTAAAGCACATTCACATAAAAACCCTCTTACACCGGCATCTCTCAGTCCTTTTCTAACTGCCAGTTTTTGAAAGAAAAGTGATAGAAATCTTACTAAAGCCATATCTATAGTATCTATCCTGTTGCAGATCAGTGACTGTAAACATCGTCTTAGATGTCCTTGAAGAAAAATGACTTTATATCACAATGGCTTTAAACCTGGAGTTACCTATCAGAGTGATCGGTGTGTTGCTACTCTCTTCTATAGCCCAGGCCTGTGTGAGCACACCGTTTTATTAACCACTTTCCCTGCCTGCTTCTCCAGATACACCTTTTAGAGTGAAAGGGGGAATCTCCCCCAGGAGCTCTTCTTCCAAAACTCCAATGTTGTGTGTCCTGTAATTATTCCTAAAAGGACCTTGACGAAGTCCCTGTCCTTTTCTGGTCAGAGTTTTTTTCCAAAATGGCTTCAACGGGTCCTTGCCCATCTAGAAAATCTCATAGTATATGACCAAACAACCACAGCTCAGCTCAGGAGCATGTTGGAAACACCTGTCCCTCTACCAGAGAGCAAAGGTGTTATGGTGTTTGGGTTGCCACATTTCAGCTCTCCACGACAAACAGCTGCTTCCTAACCTCCACAACTGCCTTATTTTACATTAACATTTATATATGATAACTGGACACGGGACTGTCACAGGCGCAATAAAATGGACTTAACCCACTGATGGTTTTCTTTGAGGTAACTCGTTCTTGTTTCCTAAATCCACAGCATCCATTGAGCTTTTTAGTCCCTCAGTTTTCAGAGCTGAGGGATTAAAGATGTTTTGGTGAAACTCTGCCCCCAATGGACTCACGGCAGAGAGGATTCTCTCAGAGAGGTCTGAGGCAGACTGCGGGCTACATATGTGTGCTGAGATAGTCCTCTGCACAGGAGAAATCGTGAGAGGTTGATAAATGATCCCGATTCTATTAATAGCACCGTTCACGGCTGAGATGTTAAGCTCTCAAAGCCTCTCCATTCAGGTTCTTTTCACCCGCAGTGTAATAAGAAGGTGCCACACGTTGCCTCCAAAAGAGGCCACTCAGCTGTGCGAATGAATAGCATGTGCCTGTCCTACCCACTGGGTTTTGCATAGCTGTGTGAATTTCAGCCACAGTCTGCTTTTTCGAACTGACCATCTCCTGGAAAGCAAGAAGGGGAGTCCTTCCATGAAGACCAATTTCATAGCATTTCAAAGCACGGTAAGCCCCTTACCTGCTGTGGCAGAGTGTTCCGTTTGACTAACATCAAGAGAAAAGAGAACAAGGCTTTTCCTCATCAAGTAAAAACGTCCTGTGTGCTGATGAGTCATCCCTGAGGTACACTCTTTGGAAGGAACATTCTGCATCAAAAGCCTGCCTTGGGCGGCTTGAGAACCTCTGTTGAGTCAGCACGCGCTGGGGCAGTGGCCCAGCCAGAGCTGTGAAGCGCAGATCTTAAAAACAGATGTGTTGCAAGAGGGTGCAGGTTATTTATTTTCTCATGCACTGTGTGTTCCAAAAGACTTCCTAAGCAGCCTGCGCATCCAGCTATCTTGTGAAAAAGGAGGACAGGGAAAGGAAGGAATCGCAGCTTTGGTAAATTCAAGAGCCTTGATTATCCATCAAGCGGTGTGTTACAGTAGCCAGATATGATCTGCTTAGCCAGGACTGACAGGATAATTTGCCAGGCCCAGTGCGAAATGAAAATGCAGGCACCTTTCTTCAAAAACTATTAAGAATTTCAAGATGATGACAGCTCAGCATTAAACCACGCAACTGCACAGTCCTGCACCTAGCTCTCCTCCTTAAGCACCCCAGGAAACTGATCTTTGAACAGTGGCAGTTGAAATGGTGTGTGGTGGGTTGCGTTTTTAAAATGTGCTGGGTTGCCTAGCAACTGACTGCGGGTCTGGATGGGCTGACTTGCAGGTTTAGATACACCATCTTGAAAGTCTAAATTCATGGAAACCTTCTAGTGGACTGATAATTTTCAAGGAAAAATACAGTGCCAGATGAAAATGGAAAAAGCCAAAAAGAACACATTTTTCTACTCTTATAAACCGGGTGGCCAGCTTGTCATTTTCCCTGTTCAATCTTCTAAGAACAAAACTCTTCATAAGTGAAGTCAAAACTCAAAGGAAATTTCAGTTTTTTGCAGAAATATAAATGGCATTTTTCCTGAGAACAATGAAAACACGAATTAATCAATAAACGTTTTTTTAGCACATTTGCTTAGCAATTCAAGAGTGTGGTGTAAGAAAATGGTTTCGCATTCACAGAGCACTTAATAATAAGGACCTACTATGTGGTGGGTTACAGAGATGTGTAAGAATCGGTGATTGTTCTTAAGGAGCCTGAGATTATAGGAAGACATTAAGCTAATATATAAGAAACAAGCAGCAGCATCACCTTTTTAAAAACAGAGTCCATTATCTTCTCTCTGTCTCTCCTTGGCTATTTACAGGGTCCTTGTGTTGCAGAATCAGAGCCAGCTCTTTTGATAGGGAGCAAGCAGTTCGGGCTCTCAAAAAACAGTCACATTGCAATTGCATTTGATGACACCAAGGTTAAAAATCGGTATGTATTATTCTGTCGGTATGTATTATTCTGAGACACTGGGAAAGAACTGATATATGTAGAACTGAGTATTTGCATTTAATCAAGTTTAATCAAATACGCTTATTAATTCATGACGCTAGTTTTTTTATTTTTTAATTCACCATGTAGAGTAGAGAATAGAATGATATTTGTCTGAGCCTGAGGAACCCAGTTTAGGAAATCAGTAGTCCGAGAAGGTTTTACTCTCCTTTAAAAAATGCATCCATGATCTGACACCACTCTATGGTAGCATGAGAATGCTCTTATTTTTCTGTTTTATATTGCATTCTTTTGTTTCACAGTCTCACAATTGAGTTGGAAGTGCGAACCGAAGCAGAATCAGGCTTGCTTTTTTACATGGCTCGGATCAATCATGCTGATTTTGCGACAGTTCAGCTGAGAAATGGATTGCCCTACTTCAGCTATGACTTGGGGAGTGGGGACACCAACACCATGATTCCCACCAAAATCAATGATGGCCAGTGGCACAAGGTAACAGCCTTTCTGATGTGGGCAGTACCCTAAGAGGGGGTTACAGGGTGGTAGCTGTCATCATCTTCCCGGTGCAGTACTATTTTCCATGTACAACTCAACACTGAAATAATGTGATCAGACCTGGGTACATTTCTGTGGGACCCCTCACATGCCTCATCATGGTACTACAAGGTTCCATCACTGCTGTGTGACTGTGGCTCCCCAACGTCTATCCCTACACGAGGGCCTGGCAGTTGAAGACACTTCTGCTACTCTAAGTAAGAAATAGAGGATAGCAGAGTGTGTTCATCACAATGTCCTGTGCATTCAATTTTAAGGAATCATATTTGTTCTGAGGTTTTATCCTCCTATTTTAAGGTACTAAAAGGTCTCTCTACTATGAAATAATATTTGGCAAAAGCAAAAGTTGGCACCACTAAAATGGGCCCTAAGACTTAACCCCTACCTCACCCCATACTGGTCTGGGAAAACAAGGAATCTGGGAATCTCTGCTATATGGTGTTGAAAGGGCTCTAAGGTATCATTTCCACTGACAGTCATCTGGAACAATTTTAAAAACACTGGCCTTACACCCAGAAACTGGTACTCTTATGGGCACAGAAGACTCATTTGCCAGCTAACTGTCCTCTTTGGCATGACTGCAAATAGATAATATACTGCCCGATTAAAACAAAAACTCAGCATTTGTCTCTGCACCTGTGATAGCCTATTAAAGTAAAGCTTCCCTAGGTAGACCAATAAAATTTTTAATTTTCAGAGTAGGATATTATTAGATGTTAGATTGGATTATATTAACATACTTTGACTTGTCATATCACATAGAAAGCTAAAGAACATTAAAAAAACACAATATAAACTCAAAGTCAACCAATTTGTTATCTTGGAAATAAGAAATAGAATCTCCATATTTGCTTGGAAGCTTATGACTAGCAAATACAGATTCTAATGAAGGGGCTCTCATTAAGAATTTTTCTCATCTCTGGCTAATAGAATCATAAATATGACACTTGAGAAAAAGACGGATTGTGGAACCACAATGAGGCTTGGACTAAGAAAGGGAACTTAAATATTGTAATTAGTCAAATTTAAAATGGATTTTACTTTTTAAGGTTTTCAAAAATTACTTCCCAAACTGGAAAAGATAAGAGTAAAATGAGGTGTTAAATTACTCTAATCCCACTCCAGACTCATTTCTAAACCAATGTGCTCAACGTTTCACGGGCTCACACACTCCTTTTCCTAAATTCAGACTCAAGTTTTTTCTACTCAAGCCAGTCTCCGCACCCCTTCCTTCATTCTGTCTCGGAAGATAATCCGTTCCACTGCCGTAATTTCAGCATCAACCGGGTTTCCTTCTTCCTCCCTGACTTTGTACTTTCAGCTGCTGCAAAAAGTAGGACAACCTCCTGCCCTGTTCTCCCATTAATTCTGCACAAGGAAGGCAGAAAGGTTGAAATTGTGTTGGGAGCCCAAGACTAGTTCGACCAAACGAATGCACTTTTAAAACAGGGCATGCATTTGGTGACCCAGTTAATTCACAAAGGTGCTATCTGCAAGTTTCCCTACAACATGCCTACCTCATGCTGTGTATGACACCTAGCAACCTACCGAAGAGACGTCAGCCTACAATTTACCCAGGAAAACTGTGTATTCTTTTGGCAATGATGGTTATAGAAAAGAATAGACTTTGAGATATTCTATAAAATAGGTTCACTTTCACTTCTTTTATGGGCTTAGTATATACTGAGCACTCTAAGTTATTTGGCTTTTTCTTGGAAATACCATAAAAGTTACGTCCTATACTCTGCGTATGTGAAATTTGTTCAAGATTGGCATGAATGACTCTTCTTTTCTGTAGATTAAGATAGAGCGAATTAAGCAAGAAGGAATTCTTTATGTAGACGGTACCTCCAACAAAACCATAAGTCCCAAGAAAGCTGATATCCTGGATGTTGTAGGAATGCTGTATGTTGGTGGGTTACCCATCAACTACACTACCCGAAGAATTGGTCCAGTAAGTATCTGATTTCTTCTTTCTTGCCCAAATATCTGAGTCATTTATTTATGGATTTTGAACTATTTGATCACATGGGCCCATGATTACTTATAGGTGAATAGGAAACCATCTATTCTGAGAAGTGACAGAGGTTTTCTTTTCTTTTCTTTTTTTTTTTTTTGAGTTGGAGGCTCACTTGGTTGCCCAGGCTGGAGTGCCATGGTACCTTCATGGTCACCCCAGCATCAACCTGCTGGGCTCCAGTGATCCCTCCACCTCAGCCTTCCAAGGAGCCAGAACTACAGGCACGCACTACCACACCTGGCTAATTTTATTATTATTATTTATTGTATAGACGAGTCTCGTGGGCTGGTCTCGAACCCGTGGGCTCAGGCAGTCCACTCGCCTCGGCTTCCCAAAGTGCTGGGATTACAGGCTGAGCCACCGAGCCCAGCCAACAGAAGGTTTTCTAGACAGATTTGTCTATTGGAGATAATACCACAGAATACTAAGTGTGGACCCTGGGACCAGAATTCCTTGGTTTGAGTGCCTGTTTATTGACCAGCCATGTGACCTGGAGCAAGTTCTTCTGTCTTGGACAAAGTTTCCTCTTTTAAAAAAAGAAGATAATGATACTACCAGTGTTGCTGTAAAAAATAAAGTGAAGTAATAAATGGAAAGTGCTTAGAAGTGTACCAGGCATATAGAAAGCACTGGAGTGCTCTCTTCGGCAGCCTATGTACTAAATTTGGAATGATACAGAGAAGATTGGCATAGACCCTGTGCAAGGATGATGTGCAGATTTGTGAAATCTTCCATATTAAAGAAAAAAAAAAAACACTGGACAATAAGGAAGATAAAAATGATGGTGTTCGTGGTAAGATTTAGCGAGTATTGAGAGATGTGGTATTTTGAATATGGTTATCCAATTTGGGGTTCAGAATTTAAAGTCCTCGCAATTTTGTAAATCAGAATTTACAAAATAATTTTTTGTCAGACCACGTGTCCCGATTTGCTTTGGAAAGCATTATTCTGAGAAGCACAGGGAATTCGTGTTTTTAGAGAATATAGTAGGTACAAATGTGATACATTTCTATACTAAAAGCAGAACACATGATCGGGTAGATTTGTTCATTGATCAAAGACAATTGCCCATCGTAGTTATAATTCTCCACATTTGGCTTCTCTAGTGGATGAACCTTAGTACTTTCTTTTCATAGCTCTTGGATATACTTCCCAGGTCTATCAAACACAAGATTTTCTGAAGTGACGGTGACAAAGGCAGTTAACTTGAATTCCTAAAACCAGATAAAAAAATAATAACAGAGTATGACTGAGTTATTTCTAAATTCCTTGAAGCCCGAATGAATGTTCTGTGCAAAATTTCAAGTTTTATGTGTATGCGCATTTTTTTTTAGGGCAGGGTTCACTGCTTTCACTAGATTTTCAAAAAGAGGAAGCACTGAACCAAACCTAATCACTGTTCCAAATAGAAATTGAACATAGACTATGACAAAATGTATATATAGAAAGGTTAATGAACTACTAATAGAAACATACGAAACCAATTAAAACTTACCATACCCTCTGAGGCCCTGTCAAGCCAGTGGAGACATAGTATGTTGCCTTTAGAATGGTGGATCAATCACCGTCCAGGCTACATACCACCTGGGTTGAGAAGCACAATTTTATGCTCCATGGCTCTGAAGTCTGGTGATAGCACAGAAGCCTGGCAGCTCTAGGAGTGCCCTAAGACAACTGACCAATGACTACACACACAGAGCACCCCACGAATGGTGGTATTCCACATACAGGCAAAGTTCCAAGAAAACTTGACGTCTATTCCTTCTGACCTGAATGTGTAGGTGACCTACAGCATTGATGGCTGCATCAGGAATCTCCACATGGCAGAGGCCCCTGTTGATCTCGAGCAACCCACCTCCAGCTTCCAGGTGGGGACGTGTTTTGCAAACACTCAGAGGGGGACCTATTTCGATGGAACGGGTTTTGCCAAAGCAGGTGAGGCTCTTCCGTTTCCTTCTTCCATGCCTCGCTGAGGATTAGCTGGATACCAATTTCCTTCTCCATACCTAGTTGAGGATTAACTAGGTGCAAATACTAACTTCTTGCTTGCACCGAAAAACAAAAGTCCCTAGGTTCCTAAACTAGTATCCTTTATTTAAAACAGAAATGAATGTATACAAGTAATTTTAAAATGCCTCTTAAAAATATATATATATGTATATAAAATGCTAATGAGAATTAATAGAAGAAATAAAGTAAAAGCCTGTTTGGAAAGTGTATTTCCAAATCACATAGAGCACCCCACGATTTTGTCAATGATCGCTGAAGATCATTGACAAAAATTAAATGTAATTCTGTAAGAATGTTCATATGTTTATGCTATGTAATTTTTCTACCTTCCAGTTTTCCTTGTCTACCTTTCTCGAGATATCATTTCTTTTTTTTTTTTTTTTTTTTTTTTTTTCGGAATCTCACTCTGTCACCCAGACTGGAGGGCAGTGGCCGCTCCCGGCCACCGCAGCCTCGACCTGCTGGGCTCCGGCGATCCTTCCTCCTCAGCCTTCCAAGTAGCTGGAACTACAGGCGCGCGCTACCACGCCCGGCTAATTTTTTATTTTATTGTGGAGATGAGGTCTTGCCAAGTTGCCCAGGCAGGTCTCGAACCCGCAGGCTCAGGCAATTCATTCACCTTGGCCTCCCAAGGCGCGGGATTACAGACTGAGCCACCGAGCCCAGCCATCATTTATTTTTCTTTCTCTTCAATTCTTTCCAAGGCTGCATTTCATGATCTCCTTCCTCTCAACACACACACACACACACACACACACAAAATGCTCATATACTGGTGGTGTCCATGTCTCATGATGGTAGTGATGCGCCTTTCCTGACTTTCTTTAGGTTTTTCCCCCCACTCTGTTTCCAATGAATATTTCCAGTGTGGGTCTTGGTTAACTGGTCAGGAATGCAGAGTTTGGGAAAAAAGAGAGAGAGAAGGGACAGAGAGAGAAATAATCTCTATATAATAATTTTTAAAATCTGACAATGTGCAGATAGAATATTCAGTCCTACAGTTTTCACAGATACATGTATTTGCTCATTAGAAATTAATGAGCACAGAATATATAGCGATTATTATGGAAAGTGGAAGTAAGTTGCAGGTTTTTTTTTTCCTTCAAGAATATATTATCAATAGGTGAGGTTCTATTTGCTGAGAAATCATAAGAAAGGAAGTAAAAATGATTAAAAGCAAGAAAAGTCTTGTAGATATTTAGAAGAAAGATAAATTTGGGTTGGGGAAATCAGGAAACGATTCATTGAGAAATTGGCATTTGAGCAAGGATTTAGAAGCTGATTTGAACACTCCATGAGAACGTAGTGGGAGGTGGAAGAGTCAAGCCAACCAAGTTCAGGTGGGAAACCTCGCCCACGCAGAGGCAGAAAACAGAAAAATATGGGTATGTTAAATATTGAAACACTAGGGGTTATTCTGAACTCCACATTCCACGTGCTGTGAAAGTTCAAAGGCTTCCCACGATTTCTGTGAATTCACAGATGGCTGGCATTTTCTTATTGTATTGGGCAGGAAGCTTCAGCTTCTGCACATAATGGACTGACTTACGGTCCTGCCAGAGCACTTTGGGTTCTGGATCAAACTGGACCAGAAAATTAGTCACTTCTGGCCGGCTTAGTGGCTCAGCCTGTCATCCCAGCACTTTAGAAGGCCGAGGGGAGTGGATTGTCTGAGCCTACCGGTTCGAGACCACCCCGGGGCAACTTGGCGAGATCTGTCTCTACAATAAAATAAAAAATTAAAAAAAATTTAGCCAGGTGTGATAGCGCATGCCCGACTACTTGGGAGGCCGAGGCAGGAGGATCGCCAGAGCCCAGCTGGTGGACCCTGGGGTGGCCGTGAGCATGCCATGGCACAGCAGTCTGGGAGACAGAGTGAGACTTCAACTCTAAACAAAACAAACAAAAAAATTAGCCACTTCCCCAGTTCCAGTTCCTAACATGACATGCGATGTAGCACAATTTATATGACTTGAATGATTAGAGAAGATTACGTCACTGGAAAACATACAACTTCAACTTCATCTTTGACATATGTGTTTCCTCCTCCTCCTCCTCCTCCTCCTCCTCCTGGAGTCTCACACTGTCACCCAGGCTGGAGTGCAGTGGCACAACCACGGCTCATCACAGCCTCCACTTCCTGGACTCAGGCAATCCTTCTGCCTCAGCCTCCCGAGTAACTGAATACAGATGCATGCCACCATGTCCAGCTAATTTTTTTGAATTTGCTTTAAAGATCTAACTATGAGCCGGGCTCGGTGGCTCAGCCTGTAATCCCGCACCTTGGGAGGCCAAGGTGAATGGATTCCCTGGGCCTGCAGGTTCGAGACCCGCCTGGGCAACTTGGTGAGACCTCATCTCTACAAATCAAAAATTAACCAGGCATGGTAGCATGCGCCTGTAGTTCCAGCTACTTGGAAGGCTGAGGCGGAAGGATCGCCAGAGCCCAGCAGATCGAGGCTGCGGTGGCCGGGAGCAGCCACTGCACTCTAGTCTGGGCGACAGAGTGAGACTCCAATTCAAAAAAAAAAAAAGATCTAACTATGTTCCTAGGCTGGTCTCAAACTCATGGCCTCAAACACTCCTCCTGCCATGGCTGCCCAAAGTGTTGGGATTACAGGCGTGAGCCACTACACTCAGTCAGACATCTTTGCTCTTGAAAGTTTTCCAGCTACTCAGTCACTGGGCACTTTATTGGCCCGTTTATTTCCTCTGTCCTCAGCTGAACTTCCATATCTCATTCCTCCTTTCTCCTTACTCTTTTAACTTGCAGGATAATTCAGCTTCTTCTACCCTTTGCTCTCTTTTGTTTTTAACTTACTTTATTTTATTTTTTTAAGAGACTGGGTCACACCGTGTTGCCCAGGCTGGCCTTGAAATCCTGGGCTCAAGCAATCCTCTTATCTCAGCCTTCAAATAGCTGGGACTACAGACTTGTCACTACTCCCATCTACTTTTTACTCTTAAAATCTGCTGCAAAACCCAGCTTTACCCATTCAAACCCATCAAGGTTCTCAACGAAACACAAAGTCTTTCACATAATAAATACCACCCTTTCCTGGAGACCATTGTGGTTACACACAGCATTATTTCTTGCTTAATAAATAGAAGATATGAAGAAAATTCCCCTGAGTACTTTCCCAAGACCCCATACAGTTGAAGTGGACTGGATTGATCTCAACAAATCATTTTGTTCCTAAGAGGCATATCTTAAATACTTGGTCAGAGATTTAAAAAATCAATGAGTCAAATACAGAAAATTACAGAGAAAAGAATTAACTGGATGAACTAGAAAAGTCTATTTGTGTTCCAGAATCTTCAATTCCTGTTAATAAAGTGTTTAGCAACTTTTGAAACTTTTCAGATGATTGTGGTACCATTTAGAGCGCCCACAAGAATTTTACTAAATAATCACTGAGATGCTTTCCTTAACCCAACAGAGAGATTTTTAACATAATCATGCCTGGCTATTTTATTACTATTTTTTTTTTTTTGAGTTGGAGTCTCACTCTGTCACCCAGACTGGAGTGCAGTGGCCGCTCCCGGCCACCGCAGCTTCGACCTGCTGAGCTCTGGCGATCCTTCTGCCTCAGCCTTCCAAGTAGCCGGAATTACAGCCACGCGCTACCACGCCCGGCTGATTTTTTGATTTATTGTAGAGATGAGGTCTCACTGCCCAGGCGGGTCTCGAACCCGCGGGCTCAGGCAATCCACTCACCTCAGCCTCCTAAAGGCGCGGGATTATAGGCTGAGCCACCAAGCCCAGCTTATTACTATTATTTTTAGAGATGGGGTCTCACTGTGTTACCCAGGTTGTTCTCAAATTCCTGGCCTCAAGCAATCCTCCTGCTTCGTATCCCAACGTGTTGGGATTACAGGCAAGAGCCATTACAACTGCTCCTGTGAGATTTTTTGAGTCAGTCTCAGTGTGTGTTCATTTGCTCCCTTTTATTCAACAAATAAATATTAAACCTCTACAATGTGCCAGATACTTTGGTAGACACAGAGATAAAATGGTGAGCAATATATACAAAGTCCCCACCCTCACAGAACTTACATTCCGGGAGGGAAAGTAGCCAAGAAAATAAATAATAACTGTAAAGTGTGTTGCATGATGTAATGGTGGAAGTTTAGCCCATATGGGGGTCCAGAACACACAGCTCTCACAATTGGCTAGCATCTGAACTGAAATTGAGTCAAACCACTGCATTGCCCAAGTTTGAATTCACAATCCCCACACTCTAATCCACATTATTTCTTTGAATCTTCATTTGACAGTTGGTGGATTCAAAGTGGGATTGGACCTTCTGGTAGAATTCGAATTCCGCACGACCAGAACCACTGGAGTTCTTCTAGGAATCAGTAGTCAGAAAATGGATGGAATGGGTATCGAGATGGTTGACGAAAAGGTGGGTGTCAGCATCCAGACATTTCTGATTTCTTCATGATGTTGACCACGTGTAGAGAACTCTATTTCCGAGCCTGGCTGTATCTGTTGTTAGGAGACAGCCAGATTGTCTTTTTTCATCTTTCTGGATTATATCAACGTGTGGGTGTTTTCAGCATATCTATTCTGTGGACTAGTGTACACTTGAAATGTGTTATTCCTATAGCAAGCCAATTGTGTTGACTAATAATGAACCAAATATTTTGAGATCTCAAACTCTCACTTTGTTGCTATCAGTACACTGTTATCCTCCTCGGTACGGAGATAGTCTATGCAACCAAGAAACTAACTTCAGTGGAAGAAAAGGAGGAGGGCTGGATAAGTTAAAATCAGTCTGCTTTAGGGGAGGGGAGGGGAGGGGAGGGGGAAAAAAATCAGTCAGCTTCTTATAACAGGGTGGGCATCCCTTAGGTGCCAAGATGGCCAAGTAACATATCAGTTACACAATTTTTATTTAATGGCATCCATGTCAAAAAAAAATGTTTGAGTATTGTGTCAGTCCTGTTGTCATTGATAATCTAATTCTAAATACCTCTCAAACCCTGCAGTGACATGACCTGCTTATATATACTTTGTACTGTTGGAAGAAGGTGAAGAGTCAGAACAAGACATTTCATAAGTTCCCTATCTGGCTATTCAATGAGAATTGTACTTCAGTTCTGTTGGTATCTCCACCCTTGGTGTTGCCCTCCAAGGAGAAAAATCCATAGTAACCTAAAAGATGCTTTCTTGTGCCTCTCCCCTATCCCTCAGTCTTCAAGCCATCCTCAAGGACAATACAGCAAGAAAAGATCCAGGAGCTTAGAGGCAAAGAGGGTGAAAGATAAACAACACTTAAGAGTTTTGCCAAATGTTCAAAACACACTTTGATTACATCTTGTTCAAGTAAGCGTCATGTCATCACCCACATATCACCACGGTTGCTATCCACATGTCACTGTATCATGAGGATTTCTCACCAAACACCTTTTACATGCAAATTCGGTTATGACAAACTCCACCCAGCATAATAAACTTAAGTCTTCAGTGAATATTTACATTGCTGTATAGTTTACAAACTTTTCACCTATTTGCTTACACTTTTAATCTTCTTTTTAAAGACTCCATTTCTTTTACCTTGTCAAATGTATTTCCAAATTGAGTGATGTTTTTAATGTTGCAATATATTTCTTTTCTTCATCAGCTTCAAAAGAATTCTGTCATCTCAAATTTCAGGGGCATTGCCACATTACTAGAAACAGATTTTTCTCATTTAGACAAGAACTTCTCATCTAAGTTCTTCATTGTTAGAAACTTAACTGGTCTTCTGGCTCAGGTCTTTGGCACCTGTGACATCAAACGGACCCCCAAAAGTAATTTATGTAACTCCCAGTCTTGTATATAAAATGGAATACATGGAGGAAAAAATACAATTAAAACATCAAAAGTTTAATTTTAAAAAAAGGATCCTTTAAAGTGAATTTGTAAACCAAATTAATGAGTCACCGTAAACAACATCTTTTAAAAAAATTTTATAAGGTTCACTAAGAACTTTCACACTTTAAAAAGACCTGTGGTAGAATTTTTCCCTGTGTATACTAGGTCTTTTTCTTGTCACCTGGTCTCAAATTTTCCTGAAAGCAGAATTACTACCAGCTTCACACATCTCACTTATTAACTCCCAACAATGCCCCAGAGCAAAAAATGTCATTTGTGATTCCTGGTGAGTGGATTTGTATTTTAATTTCTATCAAGTTTCAACATTTTTTCAACATGTCCACTTATATTCACTTCAAACGAGTCCAGCCGATGCCTTTCCTAGAGATCCGACCATTGCTACTATGAGAATTACCATGATCCTCCTCGAATGAAGCCTCTGTGACTGTTCCATTTCCTACTTTCCAGCTTATGTTTCACGTGGACAACGGCGCCGGCCGGTTCACTGCGGTCTACGATGCTGGGATCCCAGGACACTTGTGTGACGGTCGGTGGCATAAAGTCACTGCCAACAAAATCAAACACCGCATCGAGCTAACGGTCGATGGGAACCAGGTGGAAGCCCAGAGCCCAAACCCGGCATCTACATCAGCTGACACAAATGACCCTGTATTTGTTGGAGGCTTCCCAGGTGAGTGCTGGCTCTTTATTAGGTTAGTGGTTTTGAAAACATTTCTGTTGATGCCAGTATGTCCAAGAATGTGCGCTTAAGTGTACTCGCTTCCTAGCTTTAAAATCTGCTCCCATAAATAACACCTTACCTAAAATTTCCAGTGTGTAAAATGAGCCTATTACTTATATAAACCACATGGGACTGAACTTTTCATGATAGCCTCCAAAGTTTCATTCGTGGAGAGACTGAGGCTAGAGGAAATGAATTTGGCTTATAAAAGATATGAGGCATTTAACAGCAATTGGAGCCAAAGTTGGTGTTCTTTCTGATTTCTTAAAAATTACTATACCAGAGGAATCGTAAAATGTTATGGAACTTATTTCCTCGAGTCCTGGAAACCATTGGGTTAAATGTAGCTAATTTCCCCCTTAGGTTATTATAGAGTTTATATTTATATTACAAAGAAACCCAAGCAATAAATCTGCATTCAAAATCCCTCTCCAGCACGTTAAATATGGCATGTGAACAGCAGAGAGTTACCTAAAGTGCCCATAAACAAGAGTGGCCAACTTGATGAGAAATAAGCCAAGTGCCTCTTAATAAGTGCTGTAATAACACAGACTCCTGAAATGGTCTTTCATCATTTTTGTCAAGAGGAACTTTTGGAGCCAGGCTCGGTGGCTCAGCCTGTAATCCCGCGCCTTTGGGAGGCTGAGGTGAGTGGATGGCCTGAGCCCGCGGGTTCGAGACCCGCCTGGGCAGCGAGACCTCATCTCTACAATAAATCAAAAAATCAGCCGGGTGTGGTAGCGCATGGCTGTAATTCCGGCTACTCGGAAGGCTGAGGCGGAAGGATCGCCGGAGCCCAGCGGGTCGAGGCTGCGGTGGCCGGGAGCGGCCACTGCCCTCCGGTCTGGGCGACCGAGTGAGACTCCAACTCAAAAAAAAAAAGAGGAACTTTTGTCCCCATTTACATGAAGCTCCTTTGCTTAACAAAACAAGCAAAATGTATGTTCAGTAGTGGGTTGACAGAGCCAGAGATAGCTCTGCAAGATATTATACAGGAGATAATGTACTCTCCGTTCAGTCTATGGAAGGGGATCCCAGTTAGCTCCTAGTAGGCCTGCCGAGCCAAGGGCCTCCTTAATAAAAGGACGATTTTATGGGCGTTTCCAACCAGCGATAACCTTTGGGGATTTGTTTTTACAATGTAAGAAAGTGATAAAGTCACCTTTAAACCCCCGGTTCTAATTCAGTATGTAAAGTATTTGATCAATTGCTTTGTTTCCTTAGTACATTTTACAGTTTAAAGCCACCACGGTAAACGTGTTCATCCCAAACCAAATTATGTGTTTGCTGTCTTAAGATATAGAATTCTCGAAGTTTTCGTATTTTATAATACGTAACTATTAAAGAGTCGCTATTTCACTCCAATTGTCAGTAAAGCTAACTAACTTTACATAAGACTAGCATTTCAATGTTGTCTCCAGCAAGCAGTTGACTTTTAAGCATACGCTTAATATTTAATGCAGCCCACATTTCAAAACTGAGCCCTCTTTTGTTGCTTTTCAGAGGGCCTCAACCAGTTTGGCCTGACGACCAACATTCGGTTCCGAGGCTGCATCAGGACCCTGAGACTCACCAAAGGCACAGGCAAGCCGTTGGAGATTAATTTTGCCAAGGCCATGGAACTGAGGGGCGTTCAGCCTGTATCATGCCCAGCCAACTGATACAAATAAGCTTAACCCCAAGAAAAGCCCATCAAAGCAAGTACTTCAAGTAAAATAAATGTATTTACCTATATATGTTAATAAAACTAATTTGTGCACGTATATATAGGATTCTTTCTGTATTCAGATGGTGCTAATTCAGACCCCAGACTGAATTTTAATTCAAGTTCTTTCTCAAGTCTGTGAATATTAAACCAATTATTTCATTCTGAATAATTGCTTGTTTGGTGTGATTTTAAGGATACAAGGCAACTGACCATAAATTATTGAATTTGCAACATGCCCTGCAGTCATCTCAAGGAAAAGAGTTCAGATGTAATTTATGAAGGCAACTTTCTTTTTTCAATTTCTATTAATACTTTTATCATCCTTTCCCATGTATGTCGGCTTTGGCTTTCTGTCCAAGCCATTGAAAACAAGTGGATTTGGCATGTGTGATGGGGAGGAAATCAGTTTCCTTACTCTCTATGTTTGTGAAAGCATTAGCAAATCATTTCCCAGATCCAAGTTCATTATTAGAGAGTTTAACTAGCCATACCATCTTGTGCTGAAGGTAGAGAGTATAGATCAGATTCAGGCCAGAGAGCTTAATTACTTGATTTTCCTGTTTGATAATGATTTATGGGCTTTGGGGAGATAACAGAACCAAGTTTCTGAATGACAATCAAGCATACATTTGATACTCCAGTATTGAGATTTACGCTAAGTTTACAGTGAATATCACAATCTCCACCTAAGTGGAGAGAAACACTGCTGAGATGCATTTTTACTTACCAGGAAACAATAGACCAGAAACTTAAAAGGCACACTATACTGAGTTTTTTTTCTTTTAGTTGTAATTCAACCTAACAAATTTATTTTCTGAAATATGTCTGTATTTTGTTCTCCTTTTACCCACAATTTCCATCTTCTTCAAAGAGGCCTGTGAGAAGACTGACCTAGACTGTATTCATGAACGTAAGAAGGAAACGTTTCACTTGCCACCTTAATAGATATGGTTGCGGTCTAGTAATTCAGAACATTTAAAAAAAAAACCAAAAAACAAAAAACAGAAGACTTTCCTCACTGTGGAAATTTTAGCAAAAGAAGAATAATCCTCTCTGACAATGTTATGCACTAGGGAAAGCAAAGTGCTGTTTCCAATCAAGGTGATGGCTAACACGGTGGCCATTTCACCATAGGCCAGTTGCTCAATACAATTTCACCACACAACTTCATTCTAGAAAAGCAATTCTCAACCTTGGCTCGGTTTTTTAGAGAAATTGCCTAGGAAGATTTTTTTGAAAAAAGCAACTGGTACCAGGTCCAGCGATTCTGATCTGGTCTAGGACATAAGTGGGGCATGAGAATTTTTTTTTTTAAGTTTCCAGGAAATTCAAATGTGTTGTCAAGTATGAGAACTGCTATTTAAAGAGAAAAATTATTCACCATGGCAACAAAAATTTGTATACTCTTTTGAGAATCCTACTATTAGCTTTGTCTTGGTCATTTCCACACACATTAAAAAAATAATACTATTATGTTGAATCTAGCGTATGTCTGTTAACCAAACTTTAAGAAATAAAACAATTTGAAGCCAGGCATGGTGACTCATGTCTATAATCCCAGCACTTTGGGAGGTAGAGGCCAGAGGATTGCCTGAGCCCAGGGCTTTGAGACCAGCCTGGGCAACTTAGAGAGACCTCAACTCTACAATAAATAAAAAAAATTAGCCAGATGTGGTGGCACATGCCTATAGTGCCAGCTACTTGGAAGACTGAAGCAGAAGAATCACTTCAGCCCATCAAGTCGAGGCTGCAGCCGCCATGAGTGTGCCACTGCAGTCCAGCCTGGGCAACAAAGTGAGACACCAACTCAAATAAATAAATAAAACTATTTGAAAACCATTGTGTTGTGAAAATGAAAACATTACTTCTGGCTGGGCTCGGTGGCTCAGCCTGTTGTCCCAGCAGTTTGGGAGGCCGAGGCAAGTGGATGACCTGAGCCACGGGTTAGAGACTAGCCCGGGCAACTTGGCAAGACCTCATCTCTAGAATAAATCAAAAAAAAAAAAAAAAAAGAAAAGAAAAGAAAGCATTACTTCTGCACTAACACTGACATAACCTTTGGGGCTTATTCTGGATACTAGTGTAATAAGTGGAATAATAATACTAGCAAATCTAAAAGCAAGGGTACTTAACTGGAACTCCTACTGGAATCAAGTCCTGCTTCAATCAATCTGTACATAGGTGCCTTAGAATGATAGCGACCTTTGAGATCAATGAATACAGTAATTCTCAACTCTAAGTAGACATTGAGTGCCTTGGGTGCTTAAAGAAACTGCATCTGGGTAACACCTCAGACCAATTAAACTATAATCTCTGGGTAGAGCCCTGGCATCGACATTTTTTAAAGATTCCCAGTTGATCTGAATGTGCAAATCAGGACTGAAAATCCCCGGCCCATCTCACTAGCCACAGTTTCTGGGGAGAGACTAGAGGACTCCAGAGAGATTTGATGGTGTGTTCACGGTCCCACTTTCGTCGTTTTCCCGTGTAATCCCAAGACAGTTGCATCTGGACCCAAGCAGAATTCACTGAATCACATTTTGGTTAAACTTGTCCTGTACAAAATCCCTACTCTAGAGTGGCCCGTGAATTTGGATGAACAAAGTTTATCCAAATTTTAAGATCAAATATAAGGAAATTTTAATGAGAGGGAAATTTATTTAAATATGTCTTTAGAGTGAAAGACATATTTTGAATTAATTTCCTACCTCAAAATTCACATTAATTTTCATGCCAAAACAAGATAAAATGTTGTCTTTGCCCAACCTTGTCCCCTCAATGATTTCCTTACCTTCTGCCACCCACAGCAATCATGAAGAAAGCAGAATACTTTTCACTTATTTTCCAAACGCCCACTCCTATCAGGTTTTTATCCTTCTTCTTTGAAAAGGTGCTTTGCACTTTAGAAGAAAAACATTTGTGAGGGGACTTTTATCGAAGTTACCATGGTGAACACCACTGACTAACAGAAAATAAGGAACAGAGCAGGCTTCAGCCCCAAATCACCAGAACACTGACAGACACTGACGCTTCAATTAGCAGTTTTAAAAAATTATAACTATTTTCTCCTACTTTGATTTAGTCTATTATCCCCAACTACAGAACCCTTCTAGATTTTCTACTTAACAACAGAGGAAAAGACTACTTTGACAAAAGGAAAATCTCTTGATTTGGGGTGAATCATTTTCTGAATTCTTTTGTACATAAAATTAATCTATGATTAACATGAAAACAAAACACAATGCAGTAGTGAATTTTTGCAAGTCCTGAGGACAGTCATTTTCACTACCACTTTCAAAAGGGTGTATTTTCATGTCCGTTTAATCAAGAGAGAGATCCACACATATATAGCTTGACTGAGGTTAGTACACACCTCAGACCCAAATTATTCTGGAAAGGCTGTGATGCCCCAGGCTGGGCTCTGAATTCCTACATTATTTTGGAATCTTCACCTGCAGGGTAATGACGACTCACACCCTCTTTGGCATTTGTGCCAATTACCTAAGTGAGCATGACATTTGTGCCCATTACTGATTTGAGAGTATTAGGGGCTAAATTATGTCTCCACAAAATTCACGTGTTGAAGTCCCTAATCCCCAGTAATTCAGAATACGACTGTATGTAGAGACAGGATTCTTAAGAGGTAATTAAGGTGAAATGAGGTAACACAGGCGAGTCCTAATTCTGTATGACTGATAACCTTGTGAAACAGAGATCAGGACACAGACAGGCATAGAAAGAAAACCATGTGCTGATGCAGACAGGTGGACATCTACAAGCCAGACAGTGGAGCACTGGCTCCCCTGGGCTCCTCCTTTCTGCTGGAGAGACCAGCCCTGCCAACACCTTGATCCTGGACTTCTATCATTCAGAATTGTAAGAAATAAATTTCTGTTGTTGATGACACCCAGTCTGTAGGTCTTTGTTATATAGCCCTAGCAAGCAAACATAGACCATTTCTACACGTAGAAAAAGGGAAGGTGTTTTTTTAGATACAACTGTATTTGTGGGTTTATTTTTTATCTTATTTTATTTTATTATAGAGATGTGGGGTACAAATCAGGATTAGATACAAAAGTAGGCTTTCTGCAGGTGAAGTTTGGGCCTCCTGCTGTTCCCCACTTCCCTTGGTCTGGGGCCAGGTATACTTTGTGTTGTTGTATGTCCCCTCTCGCCCACCCCGACCCCCACAGTGTCCAGCAACTGACCATCCCTCCCTTTTGCTGATGTGACTAATGTTCAGGGTCCACTTATGAGTGAGAACATGTGGTATTCAGTTCTTTGTTTCTGTGATAGATCACTAAGTATGATGGTCTCCAACTCCATCCAATTTGCTGCGTGGTCCCTGATTTTGTTCTTCTTTATGGCTGCATTTAAAAAGGGTAATATTTTAAAAACCCAAAGCATCAGTATAGTTCAGTTCCTCGGAAGGGTGACATATACACCAGAGAAGTCAACTATTTTAAACAGTGATTATTACCACTTACGTAACGATTAGAAAAAGTTGGAGACTAAAAAAATAAGCCGGGCTCGGTGGCTCAGCCTGTAATCCCGCGCCTTTGGGAGGCTGAGGTGAGTGGATGGCCTGAGCCCGCGGGTTCGAGACCCACCTGGGCAGCGAGACCTCATCTCTACAATAAATCAAAAAATCAGCCAGGCGTGGTAGCACATGCCTGTAATTCCGGCCACTTGGAAGGCTGAGGCAGAAGGATCGCCGGAGCCCAGCAGGTTGAGACTGCGGTGGCTGGGAGCGGCCACTGCACTCCAGTCTGGGTGACAGAGTAAGACTCCAACTCAAAAAAAAAAAAAAAAAAGTAAAGCATATTTACCATATATTTACATCAAAAAAGTTATTTTTTTATATTCTGGGGGATGCTAGAAATAGCTATATGGCAATTATAAATCAAAGAAAAACACCACCAACTTTTAAGCTTTTTAGTAGACTGGGCTCTCTTGAGAACGGATTTGTATATTCAGATTTGGAGAATTACTCATTCGCCCTAGGACAAATTAAGGCCCTGCTTTAGTTAAAAGAGTTGTCTCCCTGGAGCTCATCACCTTTGCAGGAACACACCTAGTGATATGAGAGATGGTAGCAGTGGAGGTAGTGAACATTAATTAGACACTGAAGGTGCACTAGTGTTTCCTGAAGGATCACCTATGGAG